CCCTCAGGAAGGCACAGTGTCTACTCCTCGCTGGAGGGAGAAGGCAGGAGTTAACCGTGCCGCACCGATCAATACTTGCCTGCTGCTCTCTTCTCAGCAGAGGAACGGCGTAGAGCTTCGTGTGTAACTACAGCCTCACAGGCTAAATGTAGTACATGAAAACTATAGCTGTAAGTAAATCCTGTTCGTCACAAAGGAAGCAAGGAAGAACTTTTCTAGGCAGGCTATTATTAACAGCTTCATTAGGAAAAATAAAAAATGTTTTGGTGAGTCCCTTTTCAGGTAAAACAAGTAAAAATTTTTGTCTATTTATGTGCAATTGATTTCTAGATTTCATTCGTTCGTAGTTAAATTGAGTGTTCGTTTATTGAAAAAATAAAAAATAAAGCTGTTTGTGAAGATGTCCTGAGTCCATGTTCTGAGCTCTCGAGTTTTCAAAGGTGAAAACAAGTTTTTGGGGCCTGGTAGATGTTGTCATTCAAGCTGTGCTGCAACTTTTCTGTCGGTTTTCCCCCTCTCTTCAGTTTCTCTCTGTACTCAGTAGCGGGATGGTTTTGATGATTTTTGTGGTGGTTTTCTTTACCAGTCTTCATTTCGTGGATTGGTGGGTTTGTTTTTTGGCGGTGTTTTGTTTTTCTCTCTCCCTCCTCTCTCCTGTAATTTAATTAAATTAGAATTTTGACATGCTGCTGTGTGAAAAATCTCATTCAGATACTCCACATTTGGATAAAAATACCTAACTTTTTCCTGAGTGGTGGCCTTGTCACTGAGGATTTTTACCAGTAAGCAGCCTTAAAACACCATTGTTTATATTCTGTAGCCCAGTCAAAGAATTTGTGCAGAAACTTTAAAAACAACACAATGCCTGTTTATTTTTATCTAATGTTGCATTTCATTATATTGTAAATTAGATGTGCTTTATTTTTAATTACAAACATAGGAGAGAGACATTCCAGTGAGTACTAGAATACATTTTCTTTTTCCAAACAGTTTGCATGCTCCCACTAGACTGGTTAAATTGGCATTGCTTCCTAATGGCTCTTTAGTGCAAGCTACATCCCCGTTGAAGTTAGTAAGCACTATGCACTACTAGTCTTATAAGATACATATTTATATGCAAGTAGGGAACCAGCTTCTGTATTTTACTATGTTTGAAAATAGGTGTCACTCCCTGTTCATGGTGCTGTCTTGCAGCACTTGTGGCTTGCTGATATGAGAGCTGAGAAACCATATATTGTGGTGTCCTCCCTTGTATGAGGTTTTTTTGAGATCGCTCCGTACATTAGTTGAGTATACTAAACCAGCAGAAAAAATATTCTTGTTTTCTTTTCCTGGATTTGTTTTCTTCCACTTTTGCAAGTAAAATGTACTGTAATAGAGGACTGACACATGCTGGAGTTGGCACAAGGTAGGAGCAGGAGCTGCTTGAGATGGAAGTGGGGACTGGCACTCCACCCTTGAGGCACTGGTTTATTCACTTGATTTATCTAGGCTTCCCCATTGTTTCTTCAAATTAGTTTTTTTCTAAAATTTAGGTGGTTACATCACCCTTCTTCCTCTTCCCCTGTATTGCTTTCTCCTCCTTTGTTATGGAGCACATGATTTATTCATGTTTGCATAGGAAAATGTTAGCAAGTGACTTTTTTTGGGGAGGAATGTATAAAGCTATTACAAGCATATGGGGTAAGTAATGGATTTAAACTTAAAAAGGGGAAGTTCACTTTAGATACAAGGAAGAAATTCTTTACAATGAGGGTGGTGAGGCACTGGCACAGGTTGCCCAAAGAAGTGGTGAATGCTCCATCCCTGGCGATGTTCAAGGCCAGTTTGGACAAAGACTTGGGTGGCATGGTCTAGTGTGAGGCATCCCTACTCATGTCAGGGGGGTTGGAACTAGATGGTCTTAAGGTCCTTCCCAACCCAAACCATTCTATGAACCTCTGATTCTATTTGTATGTACATTTAGCTGATACATAAAACTTAACACTAGGAGAAATGAATGAACGTTACTTCTTGAGGCTCAACTCAAACACTGTTCTCCATAGCTCTAGGTTGCTCTTGGGGCATTACATTAAATTAAAGATATATCCGAATTTTAAAGGATCGAGTGTGACTCAGTCCCCTGTGCTTGAAGATTCCCATTGGGCTTATCAGCAATCCAAAACCGAACAACTTGGAGCAATTGTACTCTGTGGAGATAGAAACGTAAAAGAACTCTGACTAAGCATGCAGTGCTGCTTATTTATTGCACAGGAAGGAATGGAAAACTGTTTTGAATTATTAGGTTATTGCTGGATTACTTCTGTGGCTGATGAACTAATTTGATAACAATTAGACACTTATTTTTATGCTGTAAAATCCATATTACGACCTCTTAGTAGATGTGATACAGTTGTGGTGGTGTAGATGGAAAATGGTTGTCTTTGGTCTATGTGAACTCTAGAAATTGGGGTAGGGAGGGAGTGGAGAACCTGGTCATGTAAGAACAAAGACTTTTTACACATCTTTTTCCTTTCAGCATCTCAAGAGGAAAGATCCATTTTGTGTGTACATAAGTGATTTCCAGAGGACAGCCCCAATGACAGAACTATCTGCGCATTTACCCCAGTTTCAGCATGGGCAGCTGACAGAAAACTTTCCTGATAACCACCTCAGCAACACTGTATGTAAGAATTTTATTACCTGGTAGCAGTTAAATCAGCATGAGTAATGAGTGTGGATGAACATACAGTTCAGAATGCTAGTACTCTGGGAGTAATTTTCTCTCATCTGGATTGTTGTGATAAACAGCTGAAAGAAATACTCTGTAAAATATCATCTGATGTTCCAAATTAATTTTTATATACAGATAAGATTTCCCCAGTTAAAAGTGGTGCTGGAATGTCCAAGCCCTCAAGAAAAATAAGAAAATGGGGTGGGTGGGATGCTCCCATGTCAAACATTGACCTTTAGAGGATTTGGTGAACTCTTGTTCTAGCCTGGCTGTGGTCTGCTTGATTCATAGGTTTCTCACTCAGACTTCATTTTAGTCTATGTAGAGCATGAAGCCTGGGTTTTGTTGCTGTTGCTGGAGGACTGCTCCTGTGCAGGAAGAGCAGCACTGTCTTGTCTGTGAATAATTGTTTAGGTGCTTTCAGAGTTGCTGAGGTTTTTGTGGGGAGGGGGAACTCAAACCATAAACCTCCATGAGATTGCTTTGAAAGACTTGTTGCTCAAACTGTACCCACTGTACCACGTGTGTTTTGGTAAAACCAGGTTTAGATGATCTGCTTGGGTGTGGTGCTCAGGCTCTTGGATTTGTCATGCTCAGTTCTTTGTTTTTGTGATAGCTCTTAAAGATCAGATTTCCCTGTGACACAGACATGCTCTTGTGAGGCTGGGCCACTTGTAGCCATGGTTATGGCAGTGATTCAAGAGAATATTTTGATCGCTGCTCTAACTCTTCTATACAACCCAGGATTTTGAAAAATCCTTGTTTTTATCTCAAATCAGCAACCTGGTATATCAGTAAAAATAAAACCCCAAACATTTGTAAAGTTATTTTTAAATCAAAAAGTCAGTCTGACTAAAACCTTACTGCTTTTAGAAGCTGTTAATAAAAATAGAAAAGTGGGAACTTCCCTACTGTGTGCTTTGTGAGGGAATGAAAAAGGTTTATTTTCATCTTGGACAGGTGAGAGATTAACTTTTATTGAACACTTCTGCCAGGTTAAAATGGCAGAGCTCGGTGATGAGCTGTGGGCTCACCATCCTTACAGGTAACTTGGTGATGCTCCTTCCCAGCAATGGAGGGCAGATGGTTCTATTTTCTTCTCACTAACAGATTTTACTGATGAATTACTACTACTGGTGCTGCTTCTTTCCATGTTTTAAGGGTAACTCTAGGTGTGGTTTCAATACTTAGTTGTCATGATTTTTCTCCCCTACACACATCTGCTTTGTTTTTGTATGGACATACAAAAATCCTTTCCTGCTTAAGGAAAGCTTAAGCCAGCTTCTGTGGCTAACAGTCAGAGTGTGAATGAACACTAAATACTATTATTTGCCATCTCTTCTTCCAGTCACACCCCAAGAGCTCAGAACAGTCTTCGCTATCTGTCATTGTATCATGACCTTTAAACGTAAATGATGTGAGAACTAAAGAGGTTTGTGCCCACCGTCAGGCAAGGTGGTCTGCTCCTGATGTATAAATCTGGATTTAATAAGTAAAAACTTATCAAATATGCTAGGTTTTTATCTCTTGGTTCAGGTGCATTACTCTGGGTTTGCTATTAACTATTTTACTGATAGGAAAAAAACACATTAGCGCTTTGCTTTTGATACTGTTTATTCACCTGAAGGCACGTAGTTCATAACTTACATTTGCTTACGGTGTTACAACAGGTGTTACTGACTTTTTAGCTTCAGAATTTTCACTTTTAACAATGTCTGAGGAAAGTGAAGAGTCTGTTCCTTTGCTTCCACTTCAGCAAGAGTCCATGGCTTCTGCTCTGTTTAATACTGATAAGGTAGGATATGAGTGCGCTTTGTTCTTTTAAGCAGTGGGGCACGTGCATGTCACCTTTAGCTTCGCTTTAGTAGCCTGAAAGGACAACTTTTTCCTAGTTTTAACAGCAAATGAGAGGATAACTCTTACAACTCTTCTAATGCTGATCTGCTTGTCATGCAGAGTTTTAGTATGTAAAGACATTTTGTGATTGTGTCTTTGTTCCTAACTAGTGAAGAGAATAAAACGGCACATACTGGTGTAATTTCTTCAATTTTTCTCTTTCTGTTTGAGTTTTTTGTAGTGGTGTGCTAGTTAATCAGGCTTTTCCTTTGGCTCTTTTTGTCTTGTGCTGTGCAGAGCTGTGGATTCTTACTTCACTTTTATATTTCTATGCCTAAAACAGGAGTAGGGGCTTCCTCATGCAGGACTGCTATTACAGCAGGAAAAGAGCAACGTATTCTGCAAATGTAGAGAAACCTAAATACTAAGTCTGCTTTACTTGTGAAGTGTTCCAAGTCTCTGATCATCTCCAGCATAGTATTACTTATGATCATCTCAGGCAGATTATTTAGGCAGGTGAACTTATTGTTGTCATCTTGTAGACTGAGAGAAATGGAGTATTTTACTATCAAAGTGAAAAATGTTACATTTCAGCTATAATCCGTACAGAGAGAGGTTCAGTTGCAGCCAGCATTTCAGAATAATTAAACATGATCTCTTTGCACTCTCCCATATTGCTGTTTCTATCTGACTTTCGATAATTCTATGTTAGGATTTTACACAAAATGCCAAGTGATTTATAATAAATCTTTCATTTAATAAGAAGTAATATTGAACATAAGATCTTTTTTGAGCTATACTTTAATGGTACTAAATTCAAATTAAGGTTAAAACCTGAAGTCTCAAAATCTGTTTGCCTGCTAGTTTTAATTGTTTAACTAAGAGAATTTTAGACTTTTTTTTTTTTTCCCCTCCTCTTATATTCAGTTTCCTTTTTGAAAAAATAAAGCAAATTTTCCATGAGGACAGTTCTTGAAACCCTGCTGAGCCTTGATCCTGAGGATACCACAGAAAAGGAGTAAATAGGGAAAGTGTTTGGTGTGTATTGTTACTTGGTAATGTTTTGTAGAAACAAATTTTTCATGAGTTGGGGAAGTTGTAGAGCTTCGACAAAGGTTTTAGCAGTGTCAGTGTTTGCAGTTCAAAGTCCAGGTACTTGTACTCCTTAATCACTCAAGTGCTTTTGAAAACCTGAGTTCCTGAGGGTAGACTTGACATCTCATCTGTCCTGAGGGTGGGGCAGGGAAAATTATCTATTAAGAATCTCTGAAATGATTATTGCTTTGTCAAAAATCTGCAGTGAATTAATGAGATACAAGTCAGCAGGTATGGGTGTAAGTGCTGTTAAAAACAGGTAATGAGACTTTAACATTGTATGTATAAGGAAAAAATTACGTGTGTAAGCAGAAATTCATTAGGTTATTTTCAATGCCCTATCTCATGTCTAGAGCAATTTTGCTGAATGAGTAGTATTTTAAAGATACTGCAAAAGGTATCTTCCTTCAGTTCGTTGTATGTTTTAATCTAAAGCTGCTTTAGGGCACCTAATTGAACTGAACTGTTTGAAGTAATTCTGAAGAAATCAGATTAATTTTGTAAGGGATCAAAAGTTTTTATGAAAGTTCCCTTTTATGTTAAAATTCTTTGAGTGGAGGAAATGGGAACGGTACAGCTTTGACTTTGGACAGTAATGCAGTAAAAAAATGTAGTCTTACTGTTGCGTTTTAGGGCTTCTTTAGGGTGACTGGTAGGCATAAATGGTTTTGTTTCTTTGTAGTCCTGAACAGGTGAAATGTAGCTTACTTTTGTGTTGTGTTCTCTGCATGTGCACGCTGTGTATAAAAGGCTGAATGTCCCCTGCTGATGGGGCTTCTTGCAGAGAGGCAAAAGGTTTGAGACACCAGGAGTAGTGCAGATGTCATCATTTACTTGTAGATGTTGTTAGCAGTCTCTGGTTTTGCTTGTGGTTAATCTTAATTCCATTGAATTAAGATTAACCTTGTGTTCAAATTATACCCTTCATGTTTCATGTAGCAGCATCAGGAAGGCTGGGAGGTTCTTTTGTATTTGTTAACAGGAGTGGTGGAGTTTCCTCAATGTCAGTAGCAGGTTGTGGCAGTAGTATCCTTGGGAAAGGAGAGAGAGAATTTGCACACTTAGCTCATCACAGTAAATCTCTGGGATCAAATCTTGGTACAAAGACTGAGAATTACCTGAGTTTAATCACATTTCTGTGTCATTCTTCTCCCTAAAAATGTGGGAACACAATGCCTCTTGAAACTCCATTTTAATATATTCTGGTTAATGTACAGTAGTGGTTGTAACGCGGTAAAGACAGGAATTTTCTTGGGATTCTTATGGAGTTAGGTTCATAAATATGTGGCATTTCTAGGAACAGATGAAGTTAATTCTCGTGAAGTTGTGAGTAATCTTCTACCATGCACCCTTGTATGAACTGTAGTTTGGACCAAAGGGAAAAAGCTGTCTTTATTCAGCTTTTAAAATTCTGTTTAAAGGAAAGATGCAACCAGCCTACTTTCAGCTTTTGCTGGTCTTAATACAAATGCTTCTAACGTCACACTGTGCTCCCATTCTTTTGATAACTGTGTGATGCAATTAATTACTACTCTTTAAGTCCTTGCTGAGCCAAGTGTTCCTGACATTAAATATTACCTTACACATATTCTTTTTGCTTCGTGTACAGGAGTATGATTGTGGATAGTTGCTGAGGAAACTGGTTTTTATGTGTTGCAGAATGACAGTTGCGAGAGACGTCGCCATGATAATAGTGAGCGCAGAAGAAATGACAATCCTGACTCTGAGACCAATGGGCAGCCACAAAACATTCAGCAAGTGGTGGAACACGATGAAGAAGAAGATGAGGAGCTGACACTGAAATATGGCGCAAAACATGTGATTATGTTGTTTGTACCTGTCACACTTTGCATGGTGGTTGTTGTTGCAACCATCAAGTCTGTCAGCTTTTACACACGCAAGGATGGACAGCTGTATGTATCATTTTCTCCCCCAGTCTTTTTAATCGACTAACTTAGAAAATTTTCCTTAATCTCCATTTCTTCAGGAGTCTAATTCAAGCAGTGAACTCCATCTTGGCTCCCTTTTCCCTTCCACCAGCCCAAAGACAGTTTTGTTTTATTCCATTCAGAAGCCAGACTCTCTCTTTGTGGTACTGTTGACATTTGTTTTCTGTCTGGTGAACAATCAGGATAACGTGGTTGTTACTGCTTGATTCAAATCCTAGTCCTTGATTTAATACTTCATCATGCCCTGTGGTGGTATTTATAGAATAAGCTCAAACCTGAACCAAAGCCATTTCAGTTGTAGTCTGCTAGAATACAAACATTTTGGAAAAGGAAAAAGCTATTCATTTAAATGAAGTAACAGATATGCCAAGTTCTGATTTGTCTATGCTGTTTGATAAAGAAATTCAAATGGAAGAAGAAGAAAACTTTATGAGGTTTACATCCATTGCAATTAGAGAAACTTTCCTGGCAGGTTTCCTACATAGAAAATGTTTGGGGTTTTTTTGTGGCAAAATATTAATGTTGCCAAAAAAAGGCAATTTCAGTGAAAACTGATTTGAGAGAAAGGAGACAAAGGAAGGGCACCGAACCTGTCAGAACCTGCAGCAAATCAGTCTAAATGTTCCACTGTGAAAACGTTTAGACAAAATAATTCAAAGTGTATTTGGCTTTGAAATTTTTTTTGACATAAGCCTGTCATCAAATGCTTCAATAAAATGCAAAATTCTTTCTCTTCGTCAAAGTTGTTAATCAAGGAATTATTTTTCTTTAGATTTTTATTTATGGTAAGTGTTCCCACCTGCTAATGAAGTGGGGATTTTTTCCCAGTCTGTTGCGTTTTTTTTTAAGAAAAAGATAGTTGAGCCCATACTTTGGTTTGTTGAAATCACTGGGGAGCCTTTCACTGCAAATCCACTAGATGGTGTGTGCTCATAAAGGTCTAGCTGCAGTAATAGTCTAATGATTCATAGCATGTGAGTAATTCTATCAAACAACATGGGGTTCTGGTTTTTTTGTTTGTTTTACAAAGTATGAAATAGTAATAATCTAAGAATGTAGGAAAAGCAAGTCTTCTAAAGATTATTTTTTTTTTAATTAAATTTTGCCTAATATGATACTATGCCACCTTTCACATTTTGCCCAAGTAGAAAATACGTGTTGCTGTCACAGCTCTGAATTGAAAGATTAGTGCAATTTCAGTTGATGTTTGCCTCGTGTATCAGAAACATCTGCATTGAGTGGCATTTCAGTTGACTCTTTGTTGTTGTAGCATCTACACTCCTTTCACAGAAGAGACAGAGACAGTAGGACAAAGAGCCCTGAATTCAATTCTCAACGCGGCTATCATGATCAGCGTTATCATTGTCATGACCATACTCCTGGTTGTGCTTTACAAATACAGGTGCTACAAGGTGAGTATAAATACAGCTGACTTATGTAATTGTGCTAGTTTTATTAGTACAGATTATTGAGAATGGAACAAAATGAAGGGTGTTACCAAGGATGAGTGAGCAAGTGTAGTAGAACTGGTGATTCAGTTTGTTTCAGTTTTGTGGCTTCTGGTCTTTTGATGCAGCAGGGAGACAGAGGCTTAGTGCTAACCCTGCTGGCTCTTGTCGGTTAGAATTGGGGTACCATTGCTTCTTATTACTGTGAAATGCCCATGTATTGAAGTCTTCCTGCCGTCAAGGACTATGAAGTACAGACCTGGTCCTACCATTTGAAATCTATTGAGGGCCTCAGGGGCTTTTCCACTCCCCTCTCCCAACCCTACCCCAGTACAGAAGTCTCCCAACAGTGTGATATGTGTGCATGGCTGTACATGCCAGACGATATCCTTATAGCAAACACAGAGACAGTAAGGCTCTTTTGTAAAAGACTTCAATCATATGATAATGTAATCTAGACAAGTCCAGGCTCAGCATAAATAATTGCAATGTCACCTGCTTGGGAGGAGTTGTTTGTGAAAATTCCTGGTTGCGTTTTGGTTTTAATGACCAATTTGACAAGGCTTGGCCTAATAAAACTTCCCAGTGTGCAGCCAGAACTTTGAACCTGTTTCATGATTATAAAAGAGGCGGTAGAATCCATGCACTGGCCCAAAGCTTTGCTTCACTTTATTACCAAGAGGGGAAAATGGTTTTGGTCTTCATGACTGTGGGTGAAATCCCTTTTCAAGGTATCTGTGGAGCGACTGGGGAAATTATTTTTGCCTGAATCTGCATACAGCTTGGAATAATGTTTTTTTGAAGTATAGACTTTTCTCTTTTTATCACAGCGTGGTGTTAAATCTGAATTGACAAAGTTTTCTTTTAAAATTGCCAATTCTGTCCGTTCTAATGAAGTCAAATAACTAATGTACTTCAGCTAGGTTTCTTGGCACCCAGCGGGTTCTCCTTAGGTGCTGAAGGCATCAACTATTTTTTGCTAAGCTTTTCACATTTCTGGCTTCCTTCTTGACCTTACAAAGTACCACACATTCTTCTTACAAAAATAATTGCTGTACTAAAAAGATAAGAATGATCAGACAACAGAAATTTCCCGTAGTTATTTTATGCTAATTAAAAGAAATCTATGACTTATTTTTAGAATTGCTAACAGTGTATTTCTATGCTGCTATACCAGCATGCTGTAAAATGTAGTCCATCTGATTGCATTTTGCATGCAGTTCTATATGTAGAATGTAGTCTAGATTATGGGGAATGGAACTTACAATGAAAGAACATTATACCTCCAGCTGATAGTGATAATTTGCTTATTTTTGTAATATTTTTATCTGAAAACCCCTTTGAAGAAAGGAAATACTGTCACAGCTTTACTGCTCCTAGTTTCCTATGTTTCTCCTGTACGTGATAAGTTAAGCATGGTCCTCATCCTAGCTCCTACATCTAACCAGAACCAGTATATTCAAAGATAATTCTATTTAGCTAACTTTTCTTATACCATTTTTTTAGTATTCTTGGCATTTGTCATTGTTTTAGCCAAATTCAGCTGCTGTAGCTCAATTTAATTGTCTGCATTCTGCTGTCACAGTCAACTCTGTACCAGCAATTAATTAGTATTGAGGCTGTTGTCAAATGAAGAGTGAAAATTATTTAATTAGTAGACAACAAACCTGCCATGGTATCCTGCTTGGAAAACAGTGGCCAAAAGTTGCAAGAAATACTTTGGAAAAATCACTTGTATGAAAAGAGACTGGTGATCTGAAAAATGCTATAGCAAATGAGAGACTACTGAGAATAAAACGAACTTTGTGTAAAATGCCCACTTACGACAAGTCTTGAATCTACCTGTAGTACAATGGTTATGCAAAGTGTGTGCAAACATTTTCCTTGGTACCAATGGCCTTGGAGTTTGACATTATTAATGTTTTATTCTTTACTAGAATGAAACAATAGTATTCACTTTAATTTCTAAGTGGTAAAAAAGTTTAAGGGCTTATACTACAAATAGAAGAATTACGCCTAGAAGTCATGTTGTTATTAAAGGAAAGAAGTGGTTTCAACTAATTTTACAGAGAATTAAAATTCCTCTTGTTATGTCATTAGCTAGATAAAAGGTAGTTTTACAAGCTGTTTAAAAGTTGGATTCTGCTTCAGGTACCTTTCAGTCTTCAGCTTTAGTATATTTTCTTCCCTCCCCACTAGCTCTGAATGACAGTTTGACGGACTGAGACAGATACTTTGGCAGTTTTGCTGCAGCATCTTTACAGGCATCATGCTTATTACATGTGGGAAATGAAGTCTTTTAGAGACTATACTAGGAAATATGAAAAGCCAGTCTGTTAGATTAGCAAGTTAAATGACAAGTTTTATTAGGTTGACGGTTGAATTTGAACCTATTTTGAGGAACAGTGTGAAGGATGAGAATGAATGTTTCAAAAATCGCTGAGAATTTAAATAATGTTTGTGAAAAACTTAGTATTAGCCTAAATGTTCTACATTACTAACTAATAGCTAGATCATTAATTTGCTGGCAAGGCCTGGTTGCCTCACATAAACATGATTCCTTTAGCCTGTGTGCATGTTTTAACTTTTGCAAAGTATTTTAAAAACTATACCATAAGATGCATTCTACTACACATCTTTCATAAGAGAAAAAGATAACACAATTTCTAACCACTTTCTGAATACTTTAATCTGGTGAGCATACATCGCTGGTTTTCCACTAAGCATGTCTATTTGAAGCAGGATTTCTTTCCCAGCTTGAATTTCTAGGTTATTGCTTCTGACTGGTTTTCTACTTGCAGTGTTGGATCTGGTTTTATAGGTAAGATTCTGTGCTGGGAATTCAACAAATGTGTTTCATTCTCGATTTAGAGATTACCAAAGCTACAGGTCTCTTCCATCTTAATGTGTAATTGTGCACAGTAACATACAAGAGTGCTGTGCACTTTTGTCAGTGCAAAGTCCGCGTGTCTGTCATTTCCAGGGTTAAATCTTTGCATGTTCCAGCTGAGTACAACCCTGAACTGTTTTTTGTTAAATTGCTGGGCATGTGTATTTGCTCTCATATCAAAATTAGGGATTATGTCTATAGATGATTGATACATATTGATATGAGAATACAGAAATCCTTATATAGTTATTCATCAATGACATGCTAATTCTGAATTTCAGCAGATAAGAAGTGAAAGGTTTTCTGTGTTCCAGCATTCAATTTTATAACTCTATTCTGAAAATGATTTAGAATCAGAGCAAGCTCTTTAATTGCACAAAAATGAATCATGTTTTCCATCTGTGTTAATGCCGAATACTTCTGCTGTTAATGCCAGATACTTCTGCTGTTAATGCCACTTATCAGAATGGCCTAAAAATTATACAAACAATAGTTTTCACTGTATAGAGCCTCTATTGAAAGACCACAAAGCACTTAGAGTTCATAAGTGTAAATTGAAATACAGTAATGTGTGTAGACTGAATATGAACTTAGCAACAACCAAAAGAGAGATGTCTGAGTATTAATTTTCTTGCTTAAATCAAAAGAGAAAATAACCTTAAAAGCATTTTTAAGTGGATATTAATTAAAAACCCCAAATCTTAAAAAAATATGTATTGATATCTTTTATTCAGGTGATCCATGGCTGGCTTATCATTTCTTCTCTTTTGCTGCTTTTCTTTTTCTCATTCATCTACCTGGGGTAAGTGAACTGAAGCATTCATATGCTGTTTTTAATGTCTCACTTTGTCTATTTATTTTAGAACTTGTCCTTGAATCTTAAGAAGAATGCTAGTGAGTAAGCTATTGCAGTAAAATTTTTAGTTTTATATAGTTCCATAGAGTACACATAAAAGAGAGATTTATGGGTTTACAGTGCATCTGATGTACAGAAGCTGTCCATCACATGCAACACCAGAATAAGCTGTCTTCCACACAGTAGCTTATTCTGTTAGCGTATCTTCTATAACTTTGATTTTTCATAGCCATA